GAATATTTGAAGAAATAATGGTCAAAAACTTCCCAAATTTGGTGAAAGCTATGAACATAAATATCCAAGAAGTTCAACAAACTTCAAGTAGGGTGAATTCAAAGAGACCCACACTGAGATACATCTTTAAAAAAATCTCTTACTTTAGGTTTGGGGGTACATGTAAAGCTTTGTTACATAGCTAAACATGTCTCATGGGGGTTTGTTGTACAGATTATTTCATTGCTCAAATATCAAGCCCACTACTCAATGGTTATCTTGTCTGCTCCTTTCACTCATCCCACCCTCAAGCAGACCCCAGTGTCTGTTGTTTCTGTCTTTGTGTTCATAAGTTCTTAACATTTAGCTCCTACTTATAAGTGAGAACATGCAGTATTTGGTTTTATGTTCCTGTGTGAGCCTGCGAAGGATAACATTCTCCAGCTTCATCTGAGTTCCCACAAAATACATGATCTTATTTTTTCTATATGACTGCATATTGTTCCATGGTATATATACACCACATTTTCTTTATCCATTCTGTCATTGATGGGCATTTAGGTTGACTATACATCTTTGCTATTGTGAACAGTGCTGCAGTGAACATTCATGTGCATGTGTCTTTGTGGTAGAATGTTTTACATATATTTCTCTGGATACATACTCAGTAATGGGATTGCTGGGTTGAATGGTAGTTCTGCTTTTAGCTCTTCGAGGAATTACCATTAATGTTGGCCCCATGTATGTCTTCTTTTGAGAAGTGTCGATTTTCTCCCATTCTGTAGGTTGTCTGTTTACTCTGTTGATGGCTTTTCTTTCTTTCTTTTTTTTTTTTTTTTTTTTTTTTGCTGTGAAGAAGCTCTTAAGTTTAATTAGATCCCACTTACCAATTTTTGCTTTTGTTGTAATTACTTTTGGTGTCTTTGTCATGAAATCTTTGCCCATTCCTATGCATCTGACAAAGGTCTAATATCCAGCATCTATAAGAACTTAAATTTACAGGAGAAAAAAAAACCCATTAAAAAATGGGCAAAGGACATGAATAGACACTTCTCAAAAGAAGATGTACATGGAGCCAACACACATACTTTAAAAAGTTCAGTGTTGCTGATTGTGAAAGAGATGCAAATCAAAACCACAATGAGATGCCGTCTCACACCAGTCAAAATGGCTATTATTAAAAGGTCAAAAAATAACAGATGCAGGTGAGGTTTCAGAAAAAAGGGAACACTTGCACACTGCTGATGGAGGTGTAAATTCAACCATTGTGGAAAGCAGTATGGCAAATAACATATTAATGCAGCAAATCTTCATCACTCACAAATTCCATGTCTGCAAGTTCCCTTGCTCCCTAATATTTATTTATAACCTCCCCCACAAAAAAAATCAATACATGGTCATTCACAGAAAGGCAGAGGCAAAAAATCAAAGTCATCTGACATGAATGTGCCCAGCTGAGGAAGAACAAGGTAACACTGTGCTTTCTGTTTTTAGTTCTGATACTGAAAAGACGTATGCTTTTTGTGGTCTATTTAGTGCACCTTTTCCACATTTTTGTGCTTTTTTCTTGGTGATTTTGCTATATAAAACGGCCCCCAACCATAGCACTGAAGTGCTGTCTACTTTCTCTAAGCACAAGAGGGCTGTGATGTGCTCACAGAAAAAAATGTCTGTTAGATAAGCTTCATTCTGGCATGAGTTATTGTGCTGTTGGCTGTGAGTTCAATGTCCATGAATCAACAATATATATTAAATAAGTCATCTTTAAACAGAAATGCACAAGGTTATTTGTCGATTAATTGATGAAAATGTTGTGACCAGAGGTTTAAAGGAACCTCATTTCCTTTGCCCACTTTAGCATTTCTTACAGGGCAGGTCTAGTGGTAATAAACTCCATCAACTTTTGTTTATCTGGAAGTGTCTTAATTTCTCCTTCATTTTTGTAGGACAATATTGCTGGATAAATGATTCTCATTTTTCATTTTTACGCTTTGAATACATCAGCTCTCTGTGTTTTGGCCTTTAAAGTTTCTAATCAGGAATATGCTGATAATCTTGTTATTGTTCCCCTGTTTGTGATGAGTCACTTCCCTTGCTGCTTTCAAGATTCTTTTTTTTGCCTTTGTCTTTCAAAAGTTTAGTTAAAATGTGTCTCAGATGCATAGTTTCACCCTGTATTTACCCTGAGAGCACAGGTTCAGTATTCATTATTCACTAATTCAGTATTCCTGGTGACTTTACAGAACATATAACTAGTTATGTTCTATATGGTCTCATAAAGTAGTTGTAATGCTTAAATAAGAAAATATACTTATTCAGTAATATTTAACAATTATTTTTAAATGTTTATCACAACACCTGGCTCTGTGCAAACATTGTGGACATATCTGTGAGGTAAACTAGACAAAGTCCTTCCCCGCACATAGGGCAGAGATAGAGAAGCACTTGGAAAATGTTAAAGGTCTAAAAAATATATTAGCTTTTTTTCTAATTTTTTGTATTGTAGTAAAATACATTTATCAAAGTTATTGTCTGAATCATTTTTAAAAGGACAGTTCAGTGGTATTAAGTATGTTCATATTGTTCTACAACTATCACCACCATCCATCTTCAGATCTCTTTTTATCTTGTAAAATGGAAACTCTGAACCCATTAAGCATTAACTCCCCATTTCTCCCCTGCCTCAGCCCTAGGTCACCACCATTCTACTTTCCGTTTCTATGATTTTGACTACTCTAAATTCCCTATACTAATTAAATCATACAGCATTTGTCTTTTTGTGACTGGAAAATTTCAGTTAGCATAGGTCAAAATTTCCTTCCTTCTTAAGGTTGATGGATAAGAGGGCACTTTTTTGTGTCATTTTGCTCTTTGTTTTCTACATGCCTTATAGGTTTTTTAAAAACCTTCATTTCCTGCATTATTATTTTTTGTGTTTAGTTGATTTTTGTAGTGAAAATTTTTTATTTATTTTTTATTTGAGACAGAGTTTCGCTCTTGTTACCCAGGCTGGAGTGCAATGGTGCAATCTCAGCTCACCTCCGTGTCCTGGGTTCAGGCAATTCTCCTGCCTCAGCCTCCTGAGTAGCTGGGATTACAGGCATGCGCCACCATGCCCAGCTGATTTTTTGTATTTTTAGTAGAGACTGGATTTCACCATGTTGACCAGGATGGTCTCGATCTCTTGACCTCGTGATCCACCCGCCTCGGCCTCCCAAAGTGCTGGGATTATAGGCGTGAGCCACCACGCCCGGCCTAGTGAAAATTTTTATAGTTTCATTTCCTTCTTCACATAATATTCTATTTTCTTTGTATTTAGTGTGCTGAAGTTGTACATTCTAATTTGGATTCATACCAACTTAACTTCAATAACATAAAAACCCTACTCATTTACATCTCTGTCCACTCTCCTTTCAATTTTTCATGTCACACAATTACGTCTTTATACATTATGTGTCAGAAACATAAACTAACAATTTTTAATGCATTAACTTCTTAAAGACAAAATGTGGAAGTACAAACTAAACTAATAATACTACTAGCTTTTAGACTAATGATTGCTGTTTAAAATGTATTAGTCTTTTACATCATGGAGAAAACAAAAAGCAGAGTTACAAACCGTTGTTACAGTAACACCAGCTTTTAGAATTGCCCCATCTTTACCTCTACTGAGATTTTTATTTCTTCATATGGCTTCAAGTTACTGTCTAATGTCCTTCAAAAGCATCTTGGGGTTACTCTGGGTTGTTTTGGTGCCTTTGTCTTCTATAGATGCCAGCTAAGTCAGGGTGCTCAGCCCTAAGTACAAAACCCAAATTGGTTAGATTAAGACTTTTATTTTTTTCATTTTTTTCTAGCTTTATTGAGGTATGATTAACAAATAAAAGTTATATGTATTTATGGCATACAACATGATGTTTTGATATATGCATATATCCTAAAATGATTACTGTAATCCAGCTCATTCATATATCCATCAGCTCACACTGTTGCCCTTTTCGGTGTGTATGTGGTGAGAACATTTAAGATCTACTTTCTTAGCAAATTATAAGTATACCATACAGTCTTATTAATGATAGTCAGTGTGTACAATTTTAGTTTTAGATCCATAACACCAAGATGGCAAAACACAGCTGCGTAGTCTAATGTTGGGAATGAGAAGGCAATAACTGTTTCTTATGGAATATTAATTTTATGATAATCCACATACTTTTCAAAAACATTTCCAAATTGTATTCTGTAGGACATTAGTATTCCATGAGATCTTAAAAGATACACTGTGAAAAAAAAGGTGTTTAAGGCGAAGAGAGTTTGGCAAACATTGGGTTAAATTAAGTTAAGCAGTTTTCTTTGATGCAGGTTTATTGGAACCACTAATGCGCTTGTATGTGTGTGCACTCTCTCAGAGCATGTAATTGTGGGACACCCAGAAATATCTCTTGTTCTGCAGATCACAGTTTGGAAAATGCTGTTGTGTACAAAATTCCAGGGAAAGTGAGAGAAGAGAGAGTTAAAATCTTCATTCTGCTGAGATGGCAAAGTTAAATGAGATTGTGTTATGTTCCCTACCTTACGTACTGGAGAATCCTAGCATGTGAAACTACATTTCTGGCAGCAATTCTCTTTATGGAGACACGAATGTCTCTCTGCAGTGTACAGTGGGCAAATCCAGTGAATCTCTTTCCTGAACCTAGGGGGTGCTCTGGGGGCTGCAGGAAGGATTTCCTCTACAACCAAGAGTCAAGCAAGGGTTCTTAGAAGTATGGGGCTTGTAGTGAGTTGAATGGTGGTCACCCTTCACCCCAAATTATATGTCTAACCAAAACCTGTGAATGTAACCTTATTTGAAAATAGGGTCTATGCAGATGTATTTAAGTTATGGATCTGAGATGAGATCATCTTGATCTTCTTGAAACCAAGAAGAGGAAAGCTGTTCTACATGCAGATCTTCTAACATAAGAAAGAGGTTATCTAGATGGACACTTTATAAAACAAAAGGGAGAGGGGATTTGAAACATAAGAGTGTGTGAGGATAGAGGCAGAGATGGAAATTATGCAGCTACAAACCAAGGAGCTCCTGGAGCCACCAGAAAGTGGAAGAGGCAAGGAATGGATTCTCCTCGAGAGCCTTTAGAGAGAGGATGGTCCTGGTACGGTAGGAGAATTGAAGGAAAGGTGAACGTGGACTGTCTGGAGGGCAAGGCCTCCATGGAGGTGGGAAGGATGCTCTACTGCATGGTAAAGGATTAGAATAGGGCACCTCTGGAAGAGTACTCTGGCAAAGAAATAAAAAATTTCCCTTGCCTTGGAGAAATCAGTTGAGGGTCTTGGGAATGGGTTCAGGGTGAAGTCAGCATGAAGCACATTGGTCTCTGATTGCTGCTGAGTCCCACATCTTTCAGGACAGCAGAGCACTCCCAGGTCACTGCAATGTGAGTTTCAGAAAAATGCACACTAGTCAAAAGACATTCCATATATTCAGCCATTGCAAATGAAGCAGAAAAAAGTTGCTAACAAAAAAGCGTGTTACTATTTCTGCCTTCTAGGAGAATGGCATAATATATTTTTTCCAAGGTAATGATTCTATGGCTTTGAAATAGCACTGATGGGACTTTTGATCGAGAAAAACAAAACTTCCTGGGCATGTTGAGGATGAGTCAGGATGAGACAGGGATACTATTTTACTGCTTTGAATAATAAAGGAAAAAAGATAGAGGCGGCTAAGGTCTGTGAATGGAAAGGGAAGTGGGGTGTGAGGAGGATGGAGTAAGAGTGAGAGGTCGTAAGAACATGGAGGGAGACTGTTCGATCAATGGAGGAATATGGTCCTGGGAGATTCCTTGTATTCAAGAATAGCCAATACATGTCTACCTTTAACTGGTATTGGAAGAAAGTTGTTTCCTGCTCTGTATTGTAAATACTCTCTATTACCCTCAAGATGTCAGTAAAATTCTACACACAGCAATCTTGTGTTAGAGATGCTTTTGGAATTACAGAAAAACCCTGCTATCAAGTGGTGGGGAAGTGGATGGCAAGAGGATGTCTGTCATAGAAACTGGGGATAGAGGGGCTGGCAATGGCAGAGATGCAGGTGGAGTGGACTGATTCAGGGGAGAGGCAGACCTGAGGGAGGGGCTGTGGCCTGGGAGCTTGATCTAGGTATTAAAAAGAGGACTCATCACAGAAGAATGGGGATCATTCATACTGAGGGTATGTGGGCTTCTAAGTAAAGTTAGATGTGCTCAGGACTGGGGTTTTGGTGGGTAGGGTTTGGGTGTGCTTAACTGAGGCAGATTTGCGAGCTTATTTTACAAACCGCTGAGTTCATTGCTATATGTGCTCAACTTAACACTTTGGTAAAGCACCTGCCCTATATTTAGAATATTCTCACGAGGCTGTGTGTGCCTGTGTTTGGAGGGTGCATATTAAGGATGGAGAAAGTGGAAGGTAACTATTCCAATTAGAAAATGCCCTGAAACACATGCTTTGTGGAAAACTACGCAAGAAGACTGATCCTGGTGGAGCAGAACTATGATCTCAATTGAACAAGGAACATAGAGAAATGGAAAGGCAGAGTGACAAAGGTATTGATTCAGTGGGAGCCATTGAAGATGACTGCAGAAGGAACAGAAAGTTATAACCCAGGAATATCCCATTCAGTATTGTATCTGAAGTCATTTTGAGAAGAGAAAAGTGACTGGTTTGAATCTACTTCATCAAAACTAATCAAAGTGGTAATTGATGTTATTATGTGTGTTCAGTCTGCCATATTGCCATAATTATTATTCTTATTTGTTATTCTTCTTAGCCATAAAGGTTTTAAATATCCAGTAAAAGGTAAGGGAGAAATATCATCCAAGGCTGAGGTTTCATTTCACCCAAGGCTGTCAAATTTGTGTGAGCGTAAGTTAACACAAAGTTAAATATTACTGTTTTAGTGATTATAGTGATATGCTGAACAAGGGCTACTTTGGGGAAAAGAGAGCCTGCTTGTGTATAGAGTGCTTCACTATGTCTTCCCACATGATTAGATTGATGTCTGGGTTTACTATTCCTTCTGAGGCCTGAGAGAAGATTAGATCACTCATTCCCAACTGGTCATTTCTCTCTGTGGATGGGAGAATCAGTGCTAATTGATACTTTTTATATATTTAATTACACTTAATTACTTCTGTCTGGCTGCCCTGAAACCAATAGGAGGAAAACAGTGTTCTACATGCAAATTTTCTAACATAAACATTTCTTAACCTTATTTGCTTCAAGATTGGTCCAAATATAGGATCTTTAAGATAAAAGCTGTCTAAAGTGGTTTCTTCTCTGTATTTTGGTCCTGTCTCTGGAGTCCCTCTCTCTGGAAATCATTTCTGAGATTTCTGTGATAGGGAATTTGCTCATTTCCTACTTCCCTGGCACCCAACTCTTCTGTATTAGGTCTTAATATATTTATTTCCTAGTCTTTTTGTTAGCATGCCAAAATAAATCCATAACCTTTGGATCTATCTTTCTCCCTTTGAACCATCAGACACAGTATTTTGGTCACAGTGCTCTTCACGATGGCTTTGAGAATATCACCCCCCTTTCAAAAGAAAAATGCTTTCTGTTTTTGTTTTTCTGGATGAAATTTCCTACCTGGTCCCAGCATGCTGCTGCCCGTTTCCTGCTCTTCCCTATGTGCCAGTCAAGCTGTTTTATTTGACCTCCCCTGATATCCTGCATTTTATCCATCTGGAATGTACTCTTTCACTCCTCTTTGTCTCTTTGAATCCTAGCACCTCTCAAGGGACAGATCCTACCTCTCCTGCTCTGCCTCCCCTGACCACTCCAAGTCTGATGAGACTTTTGCTTTCTTTAACATCCTAGGAGTTTATTGTCAAGTACATTGATTTGGTAATCTCGAGAGTCAACCTAGGGAATTCAATAGAAAGGAGGCCTTGGGAAAAAACTTCCAGTAAAAACTCTCTGCTACTTACAGATATAAAGAGTTCAGGTATGCTTATTAATCTTCATTGATTCTCCGTTTTTTTTTTTATTGCTAAAATGGAGAAAAACTACTCTGTCTACTCTTCTTACTTATCATGAGGATTATGAAATGTCATGTATATGTAAAAGTCCTTGTAATCTGGAAAGGCCTGTACAAGTGTAAATTATGATATCTGCTGTTAGAGATCTGTTATTGAACCGGCTCACTATCAAAACCTTCCTTTATTATTTAATGTCTCCCATATCTATGTTTAATCAGTATAACCCAGCCAGGGTGCAAATATAGTGACACCACATAATATTTTTCTAATTAATTGCTTGACTGGCTACTCTCTCCCCACCCCACCACCATGCCTACCAGGATTAACAGGAAGTCTGTTACCTCCCTCTTGGAATTCTCCAATGCCCACCTTCTCCAGTTGTTTAACAACTAAAGGTTTACTCAGGTCCCAAAGGCAAGTCTTGTTTTTAAAAGAAAGGCAGAGAAAGGACTAGAAGTTCCAGTGAGTCCAGTGTTGAACATTGGTTTCTCCCAGCTTGGTAGACACTTCTGCATTCAGAAATAATTCTCTTGGCTGGACATGGTGACTCATGCCTGTAATCCCAGCACTTTGAAAGGCTGAGGCAAGAGGATCACTTGAGGTCAGGAGTTCGAGACCAGCCTGACCAACATGGCAAAACCCCATCTCTACTAAAAACACAAAACTTAGCTTGGGGTGGTGGTATTCACCTGTAATCCCATCTACTTGGGAGGCTGAGGCAGGAAAATCACTTGAACTGGGAGGCGGAGATTGCAGTGAGCCGAGATCGCATCACTGCACTCTAGCCTGGGTGACAGAGCAAGACTGTCTCAACAAACAAACAAAAAACAGAAAAGAAATAATCCTCTTTCAGGCCCCGATGCCTATATAGACTGTGGGTCTCCCAGTATGGCAGCATGGCATTCTGCCAGTGTCTCTGATAGCCAGGATGGTGACAGCTCAATCTCCCTTCAAGAGAACATGCTGCAGGGAGCAGGTCTGACTGAGGGCTTCCACTCCCTTATGGATAGATGTGGGAGTAGGAGGTGGTAGCCAGAATCAGGACATCTCTGCCTAATACAGGTACTTCTAGCAGGCAACCTTGACTCAGATGTTTCCCATGGCCCTGGCCGAGACTTCCTCACAGCTGCTGTGTGCTCTGGGGCTCTTCCCACCTGACACACCTGCCTCCCGCTCTCCTTTCACAGTGTCTGTCCTGTAGCATGGTCTGAAGACTCTCCACATCTTCTTTTTTTGCCCTCTCCTTTTTATTCTACAGGGGCGTTTCCCCTGAGAAATCTCTTCCATCTCAAATCCTGCCTTGGTATCTATTTTTAGGAAAATCTGAAATGACACAGAAGGGTCTCCAGCCTCACTCCATACTCACCAGAACTCTTAGCCCCTTGTTTTGACAAGAGGCTTTGTGCCCCCTCTTCCTGGGAGAGCTCCTCTCTGGGACTCCCACTTCTTGTCAGTGGACCTTGGGAATGGCTACTCTGGTTGTTCCTCACAGATGTTCCAACTGTGAATCTCAGGGAGCTTGGGTTGAATTTCCCAAGGAATCCTCAGAAGACTTCAAGTTTGTCTCTGCAGATGGTCAACCCCATGCACAGAGCTGAGCAACGTGGCGAGAGACATCTTTTGTGTCTATCTGCAGTACATAGGTCTTGTTATATGCTCTTTCCAGAGCAAGGGAGTGCCCATGACTCTGGCATTTTAAAATTCAAGGCAGAAGCATTTAAATTACTTTTTCTAAAACTGAACAAATGAAACAAAACCGAAAAACAAAAAGCTGCCCCAGGTGACTTGCTATTTCCACCCTTAGATTTAATGGAGGCTCACATGGTTTTAGACATCCTTCGGTCAGCATCCTTTTCATATATTTTGTCTTCACCATATTGTAAGCTTCTTGAGAACTGCTTTTTGGGTTTTAGATTGTTCATTTGTAAAACTGAGGGCTAGATTACATTTAAAGATCCCTTTCAGTTGTGCGATTTCCAGGGAAGATATGATATTAGAGATGGGCTAGTAAATGATTTTCTTCTTTTAGATACTGTGTTTATTCTGTTTGATAATCTGCCTTACACACAGCATTTTCAAGTTTACTCACATACATTGCATTGCTCAGTCCACATACCTGCCTTGTGAAATGAAAGAGTAAAGCTAGAAACTTGAGACTTGTTGAAGTTAAAGACAAGCCCAAGATCCTGGAGGAGGGTCTGGTTTGGTGCCTGTTGTCTGACTGATCCTCTAATCGACATGCCTTATGATTTTTTTTTCACTTCCTGTCCTATACCTATAAACACAGCACCCTTCATAAAGCACCTTTATATTTATTTTATTCTCAACCATCTGTACTTGGAGGCAAGGGACAAATAAAGGTATTACAGATTCAAATGCCTGAAAGAGTCAGACAGGATAAGATAGTGAAGCAGGGTCAGGTTCCTGCAACAAGAGGGCAGGGGTCTATGGCCAACTGAAGAACACAGGTTCTGTCTAAAAGGGACAGTCCCTGTTCAGCCCTACCCCTTTGTTGACACTAAGGAATGCTGGCGCAAGGTTGCCAAATTTTAGTGTTTCTGGAAAGCTGGAAATATATATATCTTGATGTGAGATACACATTTTACGATATCAAAATAATTTTAATTTTTGATATTTTTTTTGTTTAGTTTTTAATTTTAAAGATAGGGTCTTGCTGCATTGCCCAGGCTGGAGTGCAGTGGCATAATCATAGCTCACTGTAGCTTGGATTTCCTTGGCATACGTGATCCTCCTGCCTCAGCCTCCTGAGCAGCTAGGACCACAGACAAGCACCACCACATCTGACTAATGTTTCTATCTTTTGCAAAGACAAGGTCTTGCTATGTTTCCCAGGATGATATCAAACACCTGGCCTCAGGTGATTCTCCCACCTCAGCCTCACAAAGTATTGAGATTACAGACATGAGCCACTGTACCTGGATAAAATAATTTTAAAAAGATTTAAAACCCTGTGAGGCTCAAACACACACACAAATATAGATGGTATTTGGTTCCATAGATATCCATCTTAGAGACTACTGCTTTGGAAGTATGAACTATGTTTAACTGACTTGGGAGGGTGAGGCAGGAGGATTGTTTGAGCCTAGGAATTCAGGACCAGCCTGGACAATATAGGTAGGCGTTGTCTCTACAAAAAATAAATTAGCCAGACATGGCGGTGTGCACCATGGTCCCAGCTACTTGGGAAGCTAAGCTGGGAGGATTGCTTGAGCCTGGGAGGTGGAGGCTGCAGTGAGCCAAGCTTGCACCACTACACTCCAGCCTGGATGACAGAGAGAGACCCTGTCTCAAAATCGATAAACAAAAACAAACTGACTTGGCAAGTTTCCCTCCAAAAAATCCTATGAAATGATTCAATGAGTTTTGCTACTTTTATTAAAAGTTTGATATAAATAGCAACAAATGAGAATAGCTACCAATTGTTGGGTGCCTGCTATGTTCCAGGGAGTATACTAGATGCTTTACATGCATCATCCAGAATTCTTGTAGTTACCTTCTGAGGTATCTATCATTACCCTTATTTTACAGGCAAGGAAGCTGAGGCCCAGAGCTGACCTAAATTGTTAAGGGCACACAGTCAGAAAACCGGGGTTTCTTGCTTTTTATTTATTTCATCATATTGCCAATATCGTCAGAGAAGAGAGAAGAAAAACCAAATCAAAGTGGTTTCTATATGGGCAACTTAAAAGACATAGTCTTAAGAGACAGAGTCTTCTTTTCTGAAATGGAAGAGATGTCCTTATCTTTGGAAAAGGCGGAGGGAGGGGAAAGAATAGGAGATCTCTCACAATGTGATGAACTCTTCTTTTCTTTCCAAAACACTAAACTAGGAATAAACAAGGCCCCCAATCAGCTAGTGTCTGACTGTTGGGCCGTTGTGTTCAGACTATCTCTGCTTTGATCATGATGTTCTGTGAGATGTCCACTGGCTTATTCCTGCTATCTTTTCCTTCTATTTCCAGAAAGCAAACCCCAGAAGAAGAAGAAGATAAAAAAAAAGATCTTTGTTTAGGGTCTGAAGTCAAGTCCAAATATAACAGGATCCCAATAACTTCCCCCACCCGCTAGGGTTTAAAACCACATTCCCTCTGCCCAGATGGCTGTGGCAGAAAGACACAGCATTCACCCACTGCTTCCTCCTTTTGTTGGCTGCCCCCTGATTACAGCTAATGACTCCCAGCTGTACTGCCTCCAAAGACTTGGGAAAGATGAATCTTAAAAAAATAATCTAATAACTAGACTCCTCCAGGGATGGGCGGGGTTGATGCCAATCCTGTTGGAGCACTGCCTCATTCAGAATCTAGCCGGGTGGTGTGCCTTGGAAAGGGGGGAGAGTTGCTATGTACGTTCTGAAGACTCCTTGATGTTTCCTGTAAGAATCTCATTGACTCTATTTTCTCACCTTCGTTGAAAAAACATCTCCAAATACTTAAAAAATAATTTGATCTGTGTCATCTAGACTTTGGCTCCAAAACAGAGAATCTGAGGAAATGTCTTAGCTCTATGACTATCCAAACTGGGTGTACTTTGGCATCAGTATCACGGAGGATTTTTCGACATGGTTATATCATACAAATAAGTAGACGTTTATGAAATTTTAAGACTTGGCATTCTATTGTTTCCATTTGTCTTTGAAATGCCAGGTCCTCTGAAAACTTGACTTTGCATATAGGGATCCATCAGAGAGAAAAATCAAAACCTCAAAAGACATCAGTCATGAAAACTATACGGAGTAAATTGGTGGGGATTGACAGGTCTTGTCTTTTCTTTCTTCTGCTTCCCCTCTTCCTCTTTTTCTTCCTCCTCTTCTTCTTTGTCCTATTCTTCCTCTTTTTCTTTCCCCCTTTTCTTTCTTTTTTTCAACAACAAAAATAACAACCTGAAAGGCTGGGTGAGAAAGGCAGGGAATGAAATTTTACCAACTTGAAATGTGATAGTTTTTCTCAAACCTGTTTTTTAGAAGTGTTTCATGAAGTCATCCCCTAAAACTGCAGATCTAATTTATTCTATATGTCCATATTGAATGTCTCCTGTGAACTAAGCCAGGTGCTGAGGTTAGATACATAAACCACTCGTTGGTTTCTTCATGTTCTTTCAGAGTACTGATTGAATAAATCACATTCTTGAGCAACTTAGGACTCTGTTCAGTCTCGTTCTGTAATGATTTCTTTGTGGAACATGTCATCTTCCTGGAAGGTAATGTAGTTTACTGAGCTTTGGAGTCAGAGCTAAGCTTGAATTGTGACACTGCCCCTTACTGAAACTTACTTTCTTTTTGAGATGGAGTTTTGCTCTTGTTGCCCAGATTGGTGTGCAGTGGCGTGATCTTGGCTGACTGCAACCTCCACCACCCAGGTTGAAGGGATTCTCCTGTCTCAGCCTCCTGAGTAGCTGGGATTACAGGCGCATGCCAACACACCCAGCTTATTTTTGTACTTTTAGTAGAGATGGGTTTCATCATATTGTCCAGGCTGGTCTCGAACTCCTGACCTCAGGTGATCCACCCTTCTTGGCCTCCCAAAGTGCTGGGATTACAGATGTGAGCCACCATGGCTGATCCCTTACTGAAACTTTC